ATGCAATTTAAAGCAATAATGACATGATGATGTGTGTAGTGTAAGTTTTTTAAAAATTTTATAAGGAAAAGTGTAAGTTATATAAGAAGAATAAATGAAAGTGCCTCCTTTTTAAAATTTTGACCCCTCTTTAAAGTTTTGAGATTCACAATTTGAGATTACTGATCTGAGATTCATGATCTGAGATCATGATCTGATTGAGATTCATGATCTGAAATTTAAGATTTCATGATCCAAGATTTATAATTTAAGATTCATGAATTGAGATTTATGATATGATAAAGCGCGTGTGTATTACGTTGTAATTTATTATTCAGCGGCAGGTGTAATAACTATGAAGCTTATAAATTAAAAAAATATATATTAATCGAAATAATGTATAAATAAAGTAGTAAAAAAAAAAGATAATATGGCAATGGCACGAAGTAAAAATTCAGTTCTGCATTTTAAAGAGTAAAACGCATATGTAGATTTTCACGTGGACAGAGGACCATCAGCTCCTATGGAAAGACAATCAGCGCTCATGTGTAAAAGAAAAACAAAACAAACATATAGAAAAACAAACAAAATATAAAGAGCTGATGAGCTGGAAAACCTATATATAAATGGGTATTGACCAAGAAAACTTAAAGGTGTAAGAAATTAAATATTTTATTTAAAAGACAGAGAAAGACATCCTACAAAAAAATAATAAAAAAGCAAGAACAAAAAAAAAAGACAAAAAGTCAATCTCGAAAGTTTATACGTTTAAGAAGCATATATAGATATCACGGTCGTGCTATATATAATCAGAGATTAAGACTTGGCAATTTTGATTGATTTGCTTGTAACCGATGAAATATCAATGATTTCTGGAGAAACTCTTACTTTGCTATCGGAAATAATGCAAACGGTAAGAAATAATTATATTGTTTTTGGCGGCTGTCAACTATTGGTTGCCTGAGATTTTTGCCAGTTAGTTCCTATACCCAAAGAGTGCAATAACATAATTTATTCTTTTCAACATACTATCTGAGATGAAGCCAAACTTGTTAATGTAATGCTCACTAAAAACTTTCGACAAATAAACGATTTTGATTTTCAAAGCCATCTCAACAACTTAAGGCTTAGCAAATTACATAAAGCAACTAAAACATATTTTTGCAATAAAATAAAAGTTTATGACGACCTTGACAGCTCTTACATTTGCGCATTTTTTATGAATAAAGAACAAATTAAATTTAACAATATGAACATGAATAAGCTGCCAGGAGAACCCTTTGTGTTTAACCACACCCTCAAATTTTATAAAGAAGGCAAAAAACAAACTTTGAATAACAAACAATAGATGCCAATAAAAAATTTCTAAATGAAAATTCATGCAATAAAGAATGGATATTTAGAATGCCACCCTCTTTTACTGTAAAACGAGATGCTCAAGTCATGGTAATGAGAAACATTAAAGAACTCGGAGTAGTCAACAAGACTCTGGCAAAAGTAACAAATTTTGATCCTAAGGAAGAAACTGTCACACTTGAAATTGAAAATAATGTGTTAGTCATGCCCATGCCAACTGAAATATTTTATAATGCCAAAAATATTCCCATTGCCGACATTAAAGGTTTCCCACTTATTTTTTTACATATTTCTTTGCAATGTACTTTTTGTTTAAGTATAAAAAAATTTACTTATTTAATTTACATAACTTCTCTGTTAAATATATATATTGAAAACACCATAAATAATTCAAAATCGCATTACTATAATTATGCTTTAATTTGTAACGTTATTTTCTTCTTTAGTACTTTAATTTCTCCGTTAAATATATATATCGAACACCATTAATAATTCGAAAATCGCATTAATATAATTATGCTTTAAATGTAACGTTATTTCTTCTTTATTAATTGCAAATAACTTTTTTAACAAAACACGTTCTTCTCATGCTTTTTTTGAATACAATCAACATTTAAAAAATTTCTTGAAATTAACACTAACTTTGTTCTTTAAATGGTCAACCTTTTTTTCAAATCTTATTCATTAAATGAAGGACTTTTTCATTATAATTTTTTTTTGCAAATAATATGTTTCTTATTTAATTAACAAGTAAAATTGGAACACCTCAAGCTTTTCTTGAAGATGAACGAGGTATAAAATTTTTTTCTTGAAGCCGAACAAGGTAAAAATTAATTCAACTTCTTCGTACATCAACCTCTTCATACTGGCATTTGTAATTTTATACTTTATCATAAATTATCACATTATCTATTTCAATCGAATTACGATTTGATAGAAATCTCAAAACTTACATCTTTCTTTTGATGAACATAATATATATCATAAATTTTATATTTAATGTAAAAAAGTATCAAAAAATGTTATAAAAACAATTTAATTTAATATATTCTTTTCATTATAACATTTCTTTTAGTAAATGGTATGAAAATGATCAAGCCAATAAATCAAAATAATTTGTAAATATAAAAAATTTATAAAAAATATTATATATATTGTATAATTTTGCAAAATCAATGTTAATATTATGATATATTTGTTGTATATTTATTTTTTTATTATATATACAAATAACTTTTTATACAAAAAAAAAAATTTTATACAAAGATTTATACAAAAAAATTTTTTATACAAAGAACTTATTGAAAGATATTATTGTAATTGTTATTTTTTTTTTTTGCAAAGAATGTATTTAAGTTAAATAAAACAGTTATTTTTTTAATATGTTTATTAATAAATATCATTATCAGCATTTTATTTCAATAGAAAATGAAAATGAAAGGAAAAATTATATTTATACACAAGCTATTTTTATGGGTTATAATTCATTTATAAATGTTGCTTCGACTCTACACATCCACGCAGTAAAAGAAAGAAATTGGAATGAAATCAAAAAACTTCTAGATCTTAAAGCCGATCCGAGAATTTGTAACTTAGGGACTAGAGCTATATTGCAATCATTTAATATGACTTGAATTTTGATTGTGGTTTCGCAAAAAAATTTCTTAATGAAATAACAAAAGAAAAATACACTCCCTTGAAAAAAAAAAAAGATTGTGGTATTTGTAACTATGTTTTAACTGTAAAATGTACTATAATAACTATGTAGATCGAAAAGAAATCGCCAAACATTTAGAAAAACTTTATAAATTTACATTTATTGAAGAATAAAAGCTTTTTTAAAAAAATGAATGACTGATTTTTTTTAAATATAAATTTGATAATATTGTATCCATCCCTATATTATAATCATTTAATCTTAATCATGAATCTCAAATTATGAATTTCAGATCATGAATCTCAGATCATGAATCTCAAATTATGAATCTCAGATCATGAATCTCAAATTATGAATCTCAGATCATGAATCTCAAATTATGAATCTCAGATCATGAATCTCAAATTATGAATCTCAGATCATGAATCTCAGATCATGAATCTCAAATTATGAATCTCAGATCATGAATCTCAAATTATGAATCTCAGATCATGAATCTCAAATTATGAATCTCAGATCATGAATCTCAAATTATGAATCTCAGATCATGAATCTCAAACTATGAATCTCAGATCATGAATCTCAAATTATGAATCTCAGATCATTAATCTCAAATTATGAATTTTAGATCAGGAATCTCAGATCATGAATCTCAAAATTATGATTTTCCAATCTCAGATAAAATTTTATAAATCCCCTCAAAATTTTAAAGAGGGGGCATAATTTTAAAGAGAGGGCACTTTCATTTATTCTTCTTATATAACTTATTCTTAAAAAATTTAAAAAAAACTTACACCACACACATCATCAATGACACTACATAAATTGATTGAAACAATAAAGAAAACATAAAAAAATAGAAACAACATTATAGTATTAAACTTATTATTACATTAATATTCTTTAAAAATTTCTATTTAGTATTTGAAAATATCTATTTAGAAAACTATACGACTCATATGTTTGCAAAGTCATTCAATGGAGGGGAATAGTCATGAGCATGTGATCATTATATAGATTATATAGATTACATATACATTATATAGATTAGATTAAATGATTCAATACTTTAGTTATACATATAAATATGGAAATAATTTTTTGTTCATAGTTATGGTATATGATTTAAAAAATTGAGTTTCTTGATAACAAAGTCACTATGACAACTTTAGATGACACCTATACAAGTGTGTTTCTCTTTTTATAAGTATTTTACGTCTTTTTAGCTTAAACTAATTTTGAGCTAAACAAAAACAAAAAAATATATTTATATACTTAAAATACATAAATATATTTATAGATTTATATCACAAATATTATAATTGTGTTGAATTGATCAATAAATGCAGAATTTAAATTCTTCTTTAGATGGAATCATTTTGGTAATGATTATAGTATATACTAAATATGTAACA